GTTCTCTGGTCTGTGCTCTTGGGAAATGTTTGACTAGGCTTCTGTTAATCTTCAGCATGTAAACACACCATGCAGAAATATCAGCTTAAGCCTACTCACATTTACTCTTCTATCTGGACACTCACCTTCTGCTTGCCTTCTAAGCCCGCTACAGGATGCAGAATTCCTAGGGCCACCAGGAATTCAGGAAAGGGTCGGAGCCTGTAAAGGGTTAATGGATGGTGGTGGCTGCAAGCATCAGTGGCAGCTTCTGCTCAGGCCCCTTGGGATGAGGGTGGAAGGCCATCCAAAGGTCCTAATGCATCTAGAAAAGGAGCAGCTCTGAGCCCGCTGGCCTGTCTTGCTTTGGTTCATGTAAGGTTAAGTTGCAGCTGTGGCCTTACAAGGTCATAAGGAATCCGTAGTTGCTGTGCTAAGGGGAGGAGAGTGGAGAGGCTTGGACAACTATTCTGAAAGCAGAATATCCATCAGAATGGGGGAGAATATTGGCAAAGGAGCCATGCGGGGCCCTCAGGAGGTCTTCAGCACACTATTTAAGGATTCCTAAGGGCCCAGCAGCTAAACAAATAACAATCTTCTGGGTGCCTGGCCAGCTCTGAGCTCCAACAGGGAGCAGTGGGAATCTCTCCAAGTGCCTAGAGCTGGGCTCCCAGTGGTGCTGTCTCAGAGGCGGCCACTGCTTGTTGTTGCTTTGTCACAGCTGCGGACCTTCAGGCTCTCCGGAGGTCTAGGCCTTCTGCTGGGAATGACGCCGAGCCCGTCTGATGCTCACGCTGGGGTGTGTTGGCTCTAACTTGAAAGAAGGGGGAGGAGGCAAAGTGTTGCCAGTCCCCTGGCTAATGCCATCAGTACCAACACTTCGGGCACTCCACCCACATCTGCTTATTGTAATTATCAGACTTATTTATTTGGCCAGTCGGCTTCATGATTTCTACACATCCTCATTCTCAGTATTCTCTGCTGTAGGTTCTCAAGGGCAGGGGCGTGTCTCCCTTCCTTTGTGTTCATTTAGTAGAATTCTACCACTCTCTTCTTTACTCATTCACCAGAAACCCAGTAGTACAGTGTGTGAAATACCATGTTGTCTTGAGCAGCCCCCCTATCTAGTGACAGACAGACAATCATTCCCCATTCACATACTCAGGAGGCATGCGTCAGGTACCTGCGACGTGCTCAGGCACTGCTGGGCATTAAGATAGAGTGGCAAAATGGAACAAGTCTCTGTACTCAGAAGCATAGGATTGAGTTGGATAGAAAAGTAAATGCACAGATAAGTAATTACACTTTCTCTATAAATATTGTGAAGGAAAAGAACAGGATGCCATGATTGAGAGAATAGTGGGGTGGTGGTGAGGAGACAAGAAAGTCTTTCTTAGGAAATGACGTGTAAGCCCAGAACTAAATGCTGAGAAGGATAAAAATATAATGCTGGCAGCAATGTGAGGACAGGCTAAGCCCTTTAAAAGTACAGCCCTTTGTCACACCCTTTCTGTGAAGTGAGTTTATCCTAAGAAAATAACAATGGCACAAAGATGTGTGAATACTGAGTTTCATGGAAGTACTGTTTAAATATGCAAAATATTGCCCTAGACAGTGTGCTCAGTGGTTAGAGTGCTTATCTACATACCAAAAGGTCTCGGGTTCAATTTCCAGTCAAGGGCACATACCTGTGTTGCAGATTCAATCTTTGGCACATGCAGGAGGCAACCAATCCCTATATTCTTTCTCTTTCTCTCCCTACCACCCTTCCCCCCCCCCCTCTTCCTCTCTGCTCTTTTTCTCTCTTCTTCTCTGTATCCTCCTCTTCCTGACTCTCTTCCTCCACTCTTTCAAAACATCAATGGAAAAAATATCCTTGGGTGAGGATGAAGAAAATAAAAATTAAATAAATATTCAAAATATTTAATTGTGGTATATGCATATGGTAGAATAGTGTCACCATTAAAATGATATGTAGACCTCTACCTATGGGCATCAAAACTTTATGTGATATAGTAAATAAAAATGTTATAACATGATGAATGAACCCATTTTACTTTAATTACACACACAGGAAGGTTTCTGAAGGAATATGTAGTACGGCATCTGTCTAGGTGAGGGGAATTTTGTGAGTCATATGTTTTTCTTCTGATCTTTTTTTTTATTTTTTTTATTTTTAATGAATCTTTGTTATCAATCTAGAGCAGAAGTGGCCTGAGCCCAGATTACGGTCTTAGGGATGTTTAGGAAGAGAGGGGTTTACAAGAAGAGATGGGCCCAAGGGCATGAGGTGCCTGAGCGGGCAGGAAGAAGCTGCCACATGATGTCTGGTCTCTGACCTGGACCCCTGGCTGGGAGCGGCAGCAGAGGAGGGAAGGTCTGGGGAGAGAGGCAGAGCTTCCAGTCTTCCACATGTTGAGCTTGAGTGTCTGTGGGCCATGCAGGACCTATAGCTGGCAATTTAGTCTGGGCCTCATGAGAGTGGTGAGCTCTGAGTGTAAGCGTGAAAGTCAGTCATGCAATCATTGGCCGTGGGGAAGTACGTAGTGTGAGGGGGCCGAAAGCATCCCAGGCTGGTCTGAGAAGGAGGCAGCCATGCAAGGCGGGCTGTTCTGAGAAGAGGCATCCAGGGGGAAGACAGGGAAGCCAGAGGAGGAGCAGCACAGATCCTTTCAATGGAATCCAGACTGGGTGTGGCATCTGCTTATTTTCATAAGATCCTTATACACATTTCCTGAAGGTGGGAGTCAGGGTTGGGAATGGACAGGAAATTTGGCTGCCAGTGAGTCTGTCCTCTGAACAACCCAGGGTGATGGGTTAGAAGGAGGAACGGCCCACCTCCAGTGGAGGGAACAGAGTCTGGAGGGGGATTCCAAGACTCTGAAAGAAAATAAGCCCCGCCATTGCCATTCTTTCTCATGGAAGACCTGGGGGCAGTTGGGGGGGCGGGAGGGGGCTGTGGGCTGGACAAACCCTCTGTAGGATGTGAGGATGAATTTAATAAAATGGATTCTTTGTTCTCATCCCGGGGTGGATGCTTTCTGCAAGGATGTTATAGGAAACGAATCCATTAATTGCTGCCAGAAACCAAGTGAAAGAAACAAAGAAATAAGCAGAGCCGTCAAGTATGCAGGGACCTGGAAGGAATCCCAAAATGAGCTGCACATTGTAAGGGGTATAACTCAGAGCACGCTCAGCACCAGCATCTAGGGGCTGAGATTCCACTGCTGCTGGTGTCAGAGCTGGCCCTGGAGTCTGACTTCCTGGATCTTCATCCAGGCTCCCAGAGGGCACGATGCCTCATTAACTCTTTCATGCCTCAGCCGCTTCGCCTGCAAAATGGAAATATGAACACTCACTCTCCATTGGATGGGCTGTGGGAGGATTAAATGGGTCCATCGCATCATAATATGGAAAGGTCTGGCACTTGGCGTATACCTGGGGAGTAAGAGGCTCCCAGAAAAGTTAGCTGCCAATGTCATCATTATTGTGCTGCGAATGATCTCATTACGCTCCACTGCTTTCTTGACCTGGGAATGAAGATCGGGGGAAATTGAGGCACAACTTCATTCACTTAGTTAGGATCCACAAGGAGAATGTTAAGGGAACATCTGTTTGCTCAGGCTACAAACTCTGTACATTTACTATAAGAATGTAATATCCAGATTTAAAAATAAGTTCATCTAGGTTAGTTTTCTAGAGTGGGTTTTGAGGTTCCTATGACATCCGAGGGTTGGATGATGAGATATTAGAGTGAACAGTTGGATACAGGATTGAAGAGTAAGACTAGGGGCAGGGGGAGGGAACATTCAGAAGGGAGAAGAAGTCGTGATTGTTTTACAGAGGGGAAGTGCAGCGTGAGGGGGCAGCACTGACTGAGCTGGTTATAAAGCAAAGGCTAATAGAATCTGGGAAAAAACCTGTAAAATATTTTCAAGGTAAACATATATTTCCTTAGAAGAGGTTATTCTTTCTCTTGATTCTGCTGCTCCCCACCCACCAGCAAGTTCGAGCAGACACGTGTATAACTTACTGTGGGCCTGGCCCTGTTAGGAATATTTTTTGCTGGTAACTTATTTAATCCTCGTGGCAACCCGATGAGGTGGCACTATTACTGTTTTGCTTTTCCAGGTGGATAACTTAGGCACAGAGCAAAAGGGTAGTGATAGGGCTTACTACGCAGAGCCCCAGGGCCACCCAGAGATACGTGATGATCTAAGGTCAAGCCCAGACTGTCTGCTCTGAAGTCTGTGCTTTTAATCCCTGTAAAAGGTGCCAGATATCAGGGTGAAGGCAATTATGTAATGAGGCCTCCTTGCTTCATATCATGAATCACTTTAAATGACTAACAACAATAATGTTTAGAGAAGGCAGTGCTTTCTTTCAACATAGGGCTGATTATTTTAGAAATTCTTAGCCAGGCTTCTAGGACTTTTCTGTCTTCAGTTTCATATGGTCTTTCTTTTCTTTCCACAAGTCATGTCTCTTTCCCATACCTCTTATCCACTCATTGCGTCCATACTCACCTATCTCCCCTCTTTACTTTGCTTGAACCATCTCTTTTGTCTTCTTTGCTCCTTGCAGAATGCCCTCCCTCGCTGTCATGTTACCCAGTTCCTTTAAGCCTCATACTCCTGCTTCTCAGTGAAGTTTTTTAATGTCACTCAGGCCCAGTTTTTTCGCTTTTTAAAAATCCTACAGCATTTTTTACTTGTACTTTTGATCTTCTAATTAATTAAATGTCTGCCCATTTCTTTATTCAATCATTCACTAAATCTTTCTAGTACCTCCTGAATGTAGTGAGTTTACAAAGATGAGTGGAACATGCCTAGAAAGCTCTTACAATAAAGAGAAATATATATAAAGCAAATAATTGTTACTTGGACATTTATACAAGTGCCCTTTACAGAGTCAGCACTTAATTTTAATCCTGACTTTGAGCAGGGTGCGCAGTTTCTAAGTCAGGGGACATATGCACTAATGCAGCTGATGTGGCTGATTTTGGTTTTGCATTTGCCTAGACCAAGGATGCCCTCTTCAGAATCCTCCATGACCTCCGACCCCAGGACCGCTTCAATATCATTGGATTTTCCAACCGGATCAAAGTGTGGAAGGACCATTTGGTATCAGTGACTCCAAACAATATCAGAGACGGCAAAGTCTACATTCACCACATGTCGCCCACCGGAGGTAAATATGAGTCCCTCTTTTCACATTAGCTTGACGTGATAATAAGTGAGTAGCTAAATTTTCTGCCAAGAGACGAGGATTTGAATGCTGAAGCTATCACAGGAAAGGAGATAACAGCTGAACACTTTCCCAGAAGCTTAGGTTTCTCCGAACACCGATTCCGTAAATTCTCCTCTTCCAGGCCTGGACTAGATGGTCAATTAAGTTATGGGGGGGAGGGGGAATACCTGATAGGGTTTGGAACCTTTCCTGGTTTATCTCATGGGTCCTGAGCAATGAAGCCGGGTTTGTAAATTGTTTTAGGGTATAGAATTAAAGCCAACTAGATGAGGCAGTGTGTTGTGTGCTTAAATCTTAGCAACTTAGGAAGCAGCAGGTAGGACTGTGCCACTGCACCTTAGTTCCTTCGGCGGGGCTGAAATAGCAGAGCAGGAGTCCCAGGGGCCTGCGAAAGGCCGTGGATGGGAAGTGCTATGGGCTCCGAGCCTCTGCACGCTTTGGTGCCAGGTTAGTGTGCAGAGGAGGGAAATACATAATTCTAAGAAAACTAGATTATCAGAACAGTGTGCTAATGTTACCCGGCTGTGCTAGATGTAAGTTCCTTCAACTCGGGGCCTGGGTCTTACTCGTGCTGTCATCTTCATCGTTAATACAATGGACACATGGCAGGTGCTCAGTATTGGAGTGTTTGTTGGAACTGATCCTGACCACTCCCTCCTTTTTTCCTTCCTTCCTTCTTTTTTTGAAGCTCCACCTGAGTATATGTTTATTAATTTTAGAGAGAGGAGAAGGAAGAAAGAGAGAGAGGGAGAGACATTGATGTGAGAGAGAAACATAAGTCGGTTGCCTCCTGTTCACACCCCACATAAGACTGATCCCTCAACCAGGAATCAGACCCACAACCTTTCCATGTACAGGATGACACTCCAACTGAGCCACACAGGGGGCCCTCCCCACTTTCTTAAAGGCCATTCACAGGGACACCATTACTTGTTGTCTCAGTTATTTTGCTTTGGTGGTCATCTGGAAACCTATGACACATCCAGTTCAATCTTCTTCCATTGAGAGTTTCTATTTGTCTTACATTCATCATTTCTTCTCCAAGTCAAAGTTCTGATTTCCCACATGAATTTCATTTGGAACTTCATCTTGCTTAGACTGAACTTTGACTTACAATGGGGTTTCTTACCAGTCTCCACCACAGTGATATTTAGGAACTTTTACCAGTTGATGGGAGAAATACTAGATTAGATTTTATGCACTATTATACAATAGCATTGATCTATGGCAGGAAGTTGACAAGGCTGTCTAGTCCTTGATCAGAAACTCTTCATATTCTATATACCCCAGCTTCTAGCATAGCCCCTGACATATGTATGTTACATTCACATTACAATTAAAATGTTACGTGGAGGTGGGGGATATGACTTTAGCAATTGGTTGGTGTGTATTACGTTTTGGAATCCAAACCTTAGAAACCTTATGGTTCCCTCTATTTTTTTCATGGCACTTCATTGCCCCAACCTCTGCAGGTGGACAGAAAATAAATCTGCTCTTCTCAAAGATGTGAAACATCAGGGTTGGGAGCATAGATTCTGAAGTCAGATTGCTGGATTTGGATCCAGCTCCACCATCCACAAGTCATTTAATCTCAGTAGCCGCAATTTCTTCATTTGTTAAATGGGGATAACAAATGCTGTTATTAGGATAAAATGAGTTAAGATGTTTAAAGTACTTAACAAACAGTTGCCAAGTTTCTAGATAGGCCGAGTGACTTAGAATCACCCCATATGCCTGGGGGTTTCTTCCTCCCCCTCCACATGCCACTCCTGCTAATTCTCGAACAGCTGTGAGTAAACCACAGCCATGAATGTGCAGCCAGGCTAAGGAGACGGACACAAGCTTGAGCTGTCTTGTTTTGGTCCCACAGGCACAGACATCAATGGGGCCCTGCAGAGGGGCATCAGGCTGCTCAACAACTACGTGGCTCACAATGACATTGAAGACCGCACCGTGTCCCTCATCATCTTCCTGACGGATGGGAAACCCACTGTTGGGGAGACTCACACCCTCAAGATTCTCAACAATACCAAGGAGGCCGCCCGAGGCCAAATCTGCATTTTCACCATTGGCATCGGGAATGACGTGGACTTCAAGCTGCTGGAGAAACTGTCGCTGGAGAACTGTGGCCTCACACGGCGTGTTCACGAGGAGGAGGATGCAGGCTCACAGCTCATTGGGTCCGTTTGCTTGTCTTCTTGGGATAATGATGAGAGGCTCTCAGAAGGGGATTTAAGGGTTGGGTTTTACAAGAGACTAGGAAATGAGAATTGTTAGCTGCACCTTAGCCTTGAGTATCCTGGAAATGACCATAACTCATTACACTGGGAGATGTCATAATGGGGTTTGAAATCCATTAGGCAGGTCTGGCTGCAAATTCTGGTTATGTTTTATGACTCTAGGCAAGATTTTAAGTTCCCTCATTATAGAGTGAGGATTATGGTCAGTTGACAGAATTTAATGAGAAAACCTGTATAAAATATTGGCAGAATGGCTATCATGTGTTAGGTATTCAACTAGCTATTCTGATTATAATTGTCTTCTTAACATCTCAAAGCACTTCCTGCTATATTTATTCTAATTCCACCCTCTTCAGTAGCTAGGAGAAGTAGTTATTTCTATGTTGAATAGTAATTAAAATTATCATATTTTAATTTGGAAGCTAAGTGACCATTTGACACTAGTTCCTGATCATATCTATATATATAAAAGATTAAGTGACTGACCAACTGGCTAACAAGCTGGTAGCTATGACATTCACACTAACCACCAGGGGGCAGACACTCAACTCAGGAGCAGAAACCACAGGCATGGAAACATGGAACAGACTGATGAATCTCAGAGGGAAGGGAAGAGAGGGGAGGGCAGGAAGAGATTAAGCAAAGCTCTTATATGCATATTAGAGGCCTGGTGCACAATTCATGCACTGGTGACATCCCATGGCCTGGTCTGTGGGGCCGAAACTGGCTCTCTGACATCCCTCAAGGTGTCTTGGATTGTGAGAGGGCGCAGGGGAGAGAGAGAGAGAGAGAGAGAGAGAGAGAGAGAGAGAGAGAGAGAGAGAGAGAGGGAGAGAGAAAAGAAACTAGAAGTGAGGGCTTCTAATTAGTTCAATGCCTTCCCTTTGATATCATGTTGTCAACATGAGATATAACTTTGCTGTTGATTCAATGACATAATGACGCCCAGCTCAGCACTATTGCTTTAATCCACTTTGTGGCATAAATAGTAGTTACTTAAAAGAAAAAGTGAGCTTCAGGTACCTTTATAGGTGTTTAACAGCCATAATAAAAGAATATTAATTAATGATAAATCTAATTAGAGGTCTATAAGATGAAAAATAAAGATAGGTCCTTGAGATGAAGCTAGCCACCATTGTTTACCCAGCATTTTTGTCAAGATTTAAATAAAAACACAGATTAGCTTCCCACATTTTCAAAATCATTCAAAACTACATTAAAAGAGGGAGAATTTAATACATTAAAAAATAATGTGTCCATAAGCAAAAGCAAGTACAATACATTGAAACAAACGGACTGCACTAACATACTACTAAAAATATTGTGACAACCCAACATTTATTGAGCACTTACAATATGACAGACATTTCTACAGGCAGAAATCCTAGGAGTGGGTATATGAGGGTAAAGGCTAAGCTGACATTCAGATGACTTTCTCCTGTAACAGTCTGCACAGCTCAGTTTGGCTCCATGAGGTCATTCAGAGACTCAGGTTCCTTCCATTTTACCGTTCTACACCCCTTAGATGTTGTTCTTAACTGCAAGGTTGAAATAAGGTCATAATGATTTCTGTATTCCAACTCTAAAAGTGTGGAAGGAAAAGAAAGCCAGAGCAAGCCATTCTATTTTATGCAAGAATTACAGAAGTTTTGCATATCGCTTCCACTCCTATTCCATTAGGGTTAATATGACCATATTTGGCAAGAATAGAGGCTTAGAAAAGTAGTTTGTAGCTAGATGGGCTTCATCAAGTTAAAAATAATTTATTATGAAAGAAGGGGAGACTGGGTCTGGGAGACAGCAGTCTACCAAAGTGGTTACTATTAATGTTCCAATTTTATAGAGGAAGAAACTGAAGTTTAGAGAGGTGAGGTTATGTGTCCCAAGACATACAGCAAGTAAATAGCTGAGGTGGAAGTCTAATGCCCAGCCTATGCTTTTTAGATTTTTGGAAAGGGATTTTAATTGCCTCTTTATGCAAAAAGTAGCAAGCTTGTGATGTAACTAGAAGAAAAGCTAATGTAATGCTGCTTTACACAAAAGCATAGTGGCAAGGTCAAGGTCAGATTTCTCAAGTATAATGTGCTTATTAAAGCATATGTGCAACATGTCTTTGGTTCTAAGAAAAATGTTTTAAGAGGCAACATGTCTTTGATTCTAAGAAAAATGTTTTAAAATGTTTTTTTAAGTTTTGAGAAACTTAGGTGTGTACAAAGGAAAGTTACCGAAAGTGGTTATGGGACCTTGTAATCATGTCATCTGAAGAAGAGTTCATAAAACTGGAATTAATTAGACTGCATAGAGATGATGCCTAAGAACAGTGTTTGCCATGCCCCTAAATAACTGTTATGTTGAAGACAGATTATGCTAGTTCATGCTGTGCTGCTCCAAAGGCAAAAGTGAGACCAGTGGGTGGAAATTTCAGGGAGAAGACTGTGATCTACTACAAGGAGGTTCCTCCTCCTCCTCTGAGCAGTTGAAAGAGAGGAGGAAGCTTTATGAGGCATAGTTCTTGATCACCAGCGGTGTTCAAGCTACTGCTGTATAGCCTCCTATGAGCACTGTTCTGCTGGTAGAAGTTGGATTTGATTGCTTCTAAGATAAGCTCACCCTTCTAACAGCCCATGATTTCCTTTAGGACCTGCACTACCTGCAGTCAGGGCTGGATCTTAACTCTCTCTCACTCTCTTTCTTTACTCCAGGTTCTATGATGAGATCAGGACCCCTCTGCTCTCTGACATTCACATCAATTACCCACCCAGCTCCGTGGAACAGGCTACCAGAACCTTCTTCCCCAACTACTTCAATGGCTCAGAGATCATCATTGCTGGGAAGCTGATGGACAAGAAGATAGATCGACTGCACGTGGAAGTCAGGGCCAGCAACAGTAAGAAATTTGTCATACTGAAGACAGATGTGCCTGTGGGGCCCCAGAAGGTGGGGAATGATGTCATAGGAAGCATCCGGCCCAACGGTGATGGTGAGAAGGACCCCAACCACCTTGAGCGTCTCTGGAGCTACCTGACCGTAAAGGAGCTGCTGAATTCCTGGCTGCAGAATGACGACGAGCAGGAGAAGGAGCGACTGAGGCAGAAGGCCCAGGCTCTGGCCATGAACTCTCACTTCCTCACCCCGTTCACCTCCATGAAATTGAAGAAATCCACACTGCAGACAAGGAAGCTGGAGGACAGCTATGGCATGTCTGCTGCAACAGGGCCTGAGACAGTGGTGCAGAGTCTGCAAGGCTCCAACCTGCAGCCAGGTAACCAACTCCAGGGATGGCCAAATGTAGGAGCCTAACATGTCCTTTCTGCCTCCTTCTCAGGCAAGGTCACCTCAGCAGGAGTCTGTTTTATTCTGTGGCATTATAATTTTATAAGCAATAACCCCACCTGCAGCTCCTAGTTTTCAGAGTGTGTGTTCAATTATTGTGTTTGTACTGTTATACACTGTGGATCTCTATAGAGACACTAGAGAGGATGACAGTTGTCTTAGAAAGGTTGCCTGGTGAAAATCATCCATCCATCAATCACCAATATTGAATGCCCAACATTTGCCAGTCATTAATGGAGGCACCAAGATGAACTAACAAATAGACCATATTCACTCTTTAAGTGCCTTTCCACGTATTTAAGTACTTCAGAGTTATATCATTTTATGTGTATGCTAGATTTACTTTCCTGAGAACATAGGTGAGAATTCCTGATTCTTGAGAGAATTCACCCTTTTCATACTTGTCACTCAGACTCTAAATAGTAACCGTCTAAGGTCTCAGCTACATTTTGATGGGGAAAATAGTAGCAAGGAGAACAGGAAGTGGAAAAGAAAATTAGTTCAACCAAAACTGAGGGTTACATTCTCAGTAGTATCTGTTTGTGGAAAAGGGCCTTTTTTTTTTTTTGTATGTGTAACATTTTCATTAAATTTCTGTCAAGTTCACATCTCCTTGTGAACTTGGGGGAGATATTACCCTTGGACCTGCAAATGCTGTCTCATTTATTCCTCACACTCTAAACTCCTAGAAGAGCCCAGCTAGTGTGACTCAGTTGTTGGGCATTGATCTATGAACCAGGAGGTCACTAGTTCGATACCCTGGTCAGGGAACATGCCTGGGTTTTGGGCTCCATCCCCAGTAGGAGGTGTGCAGGAGGCAGACAATCAATGATTCCCATCATTGATGTTTCTCTCTCTCTCTTTTCCTCTCTAAAGTAAAGAAAAATATATTTAAAAAAAAAACCACAAAACTCTGATAAGCTCTAGATGTAGTGAAGAGAGCATACGTTTAGAATCCAGAAAGAGCTGACTTTCAGCTCACCAGCCCGCCTGAACTTCTACTCCCTCGCCTGTTAAATGTAGACAATAACTTCCCTGAAGGGCCATTGCAAGGATTGAATGTGTAAAGTTTTGGCATATATGAGAGTTCAACAAATGTTTAGAATTTCTCCCTTTGAGGAATGTAGAACTAGACATTTATTGAAAAGTTCAGACCCTGATGTAGAGGTTAAAAGTGATATGTTGCCTTTTTAGAAAGAGTGGAGCTTGTTTTGGCAAAACTAGTGCAATTTTAGTTCTGATGAAAAGCAAATTGTGTAATGCTATGGATTAGCCCTATGAAGAAATAACCAACTGATAGCTCAAAAAAATTGTTTGGAATTGAATTTTCCTAAAGCGTAAGTTAGTATTTAAGACAATCTTTGTTTTCTTAAAGCTATGATGAGTTTTTCTTTATTTCTTTTTGAGTGTCTGTGGCAGCTGCCACTCACTAAGGCTTCTCACATTAGCCATCCAAATTGAGAAGTTGCTTTCCTGTGGTCTGCCCAATTCTGCCCGGGTCCTGCTGGCCAGGGACCAGTGTGGGAAAGATAGGGACACATAGAAGCATTGCAATACTTTGATCTTTAATTTCTGTGAGGGGCAAACGTTAGTTAAGAGGGGCATAATTGTTATTACAAACAATTTGAAATAAGATATTAATGTTAGTTTATTTGTAGAAATTAATTTACTTTTGGGTTATTTTTTAATTGATCATTTATTTTTGCCTGCTGCTTTATGGATTGTGTTTATACACACAACAATAGACACTGGATTCTAATTTCCTTTTACATTTTTCTCTGTTTTTTTTTTTTTTAAGTATGGTACAAAAACACATTACATAAAATTTACCTTCTTAACAATTTGTAAGTGTACAGTTCAGTAGCAGTCAGTATATTGATGTTGTGAAACTGATTGAAAGAACTTTTTCATCTTGCAAATCTGAAATTCTGGATCATTAAACAAATATTTTTTCCTTCCTCCTATAACTACATCTGAATTAAGATGGAATATTCCCTCTAGTATATGCACAGAAATCACAGACAAAAAGACTATTATCTAATTTATAAAAACATAAAGTAATTAAGCCTCCACTTGTTGCACCTTCATTTGTGTGTTGTAAGGCCAAGATCCTTCTTTAAATCATCCCTCAAAGTTGCTGAGGGTGTCAAACAAGATACTATATGTTTAAAAGCTCTGAATAGACAAAGAGTCACACAATTACAAGGTAATCATTATTACTTTTACTCCTGGATCACCATTTAAGACAAGGAATACAGGAATACTGATTCCCAGAATAGAATTTGAATGTTTATTGTGCCTGGATTATAGAATTGTTTCCCTTTTAAGCATTTGGTCCAACCTGAAAAAAAAGCAAGATATGACTCAGCATGTATAGTATAACCCATTAAAAAATATATATACACACAAATATCTCTGTGGGAAAACAAACAAACAAAAAACAGATAATGTTTGAAATTGCTATGAATGTATCTGAAAATTATATTTTACTCATCTCAATACTCTCCTCTCATATCCCTCACTTCATCCTCTTTAATGAATAACAGTGGTTGCTATTTTCCTTTATTTTATAGGATCTACTCTCAAGAAACCATATAACCCAAGAATTAAAGTTTCCAGAACATCAGGTAAGGAAAACAATGTATGTGATTTACATGTTTAGAAAGTGGACATCCAGGAATGCCCTGAAGCCAGTTAAAATACTAGCTCATAGAAATGTGACACCGAGACCCATATTCTTAGCCCAAACCAGCAGCGTGAGGCAGTTCTGAGAATCAAGATCATCATTAAACTGTTACATAAGCACCGTGGATAACAGTCCCAGGAGCCTGGCAACAGCCCAGATGGAAGGATGGGTAGTAGACTCACAGTCTCATCATTGTGGAGTTTAAAAGACATTTGTTTTACAGATCTGAAGCAATGTGTGCTTCAGCTTCTGGTATTACAAATATATGGGGCATGCTGGTTTTACAAAAATTATTTTATTATTTTTTAATCCCTGGTTTAGAGGGAAGAATAGATAAACATACCATAAAATTTCTTTTGGCCAATTCTCTGGAATTACAGTAAAAATCCAGATGAGCCGAGACCAGTTTGGCTCAGTGGATAGAGCATCGGTCTGCGGACTGAAAGGTCCCAGATTCAATTCTGGTCAAGGGCATGTACCTCGGTTGTGGGCACATCCCCGGTAGGGGGTGTGCAAGAAGCAGCTGATCGATGATTCTGTCTCATCGATGTTTCTGACTCTCTATCCTCTCTCTTCCTCTCTGTGAAAAATCAATAAAATATATATATTTTTTAAAAAATCCAGATGAGATAACAACACAACGGCTGGGTTAGATTCTTAAAATGTGCACTTCTCTTTGTAAGTCTTGCTGCTGATGTACTGGATGTGCATGTTCATAAAACCAGAGACATCCTCAGGATGAGTTGTATGGATAGAAAACGCAGTCTCTAGTGGAGAGAATGCAATTCCTTTGAACACACGGGTGCTGATGGATGCAAGAAAATCTTTCTCTTGGATGCACGTGGAGTAATGACTTTCTCCTCTAGTTTTTGGGATAAGCAGCAGCTTTCCTTGTAAAGGGATTTTGATGAGTTGAGGAGAAATGCTGTGGTGTGAGCCCAAGAAACTCTCAGAGAACTGTCACTTAGCCATGTTCCTGCTGACTCTGTGTCCTTCACTTGTCACCAGCCCTCTGCTAGGCTTGGTTGTTACTACTGTCGGGCAAGGCTTTTGTGCATCTGGCACTATGAATGTCCCTAGTGCCATGGCACTCTCCACTTGGTGGTCAAAGGAGAAAAGAAATTATTGGAGTCATACTGGAAATTGAAGAAAGCAGGCTCCGTAATAGAGGGGGTATCCTATATAATAAAAGCCTAATATGCTAAGTGCTTGATTGTTTGTTCAACCAATCAAAGTATAATATGCTAATGATAGGCTAAGGCCGTTCAACCGCTTGCTATGATGTACACTGACCACCAGGGGGCAGGCATTCGACTGGTTGACTAGTCACTATGATGTATACTAGGGGTGTCGAACTCAATCAGAGAAGGGGCCAAAATCTAAAATCCAGCCTAAATCGCGGGCCGAATGGTTTACTGAACAGTCATAAACTGTCATTGTGATGGAAACGCAGCGGAGTGCAGTGATGACAGCGCGGTGCGGGCCACATTGCAAGGCCTGGCGGGACGGATTTGGCCCGCGGGCCTTGTGTTTAACACATGTGATGTATACTAACCATTCAGGGGCAGATGCTCTGACCAGTAAATTAGTTTGCTGCTGGGGTCTGGCTAATCAGGAGTGAGTGAGATGGGCTGGATATGCCCTGATGCCTCCCATTGTCCTTCCCTGGCTCCAATCATGCACTGGTGGGATCCCTCAACCTGGTCAACATCCTGCATCCTTCCCTGACCCCACCGTGTACTGATGGGGTTACTCGGCGTGGCCCTTGCCCTCTCATAATCCAGGACCCCTTGGGGGATATCAGAGAGCCAGTTCCTGCCCAGTCCCCCAAGCCAAACGAAAGGACCCCACTGATGCATGAATTTGTGCACTGGGCCTCTAGTATTGCAATAACCCTCTTTCATTTCTGTTTCCCACTTACCTCTCAAAGCTTAGTTGTCTGAGTTTGGCCAAGGTGTGATGAAAGGGAGCATTATATTTGAATTTAGGGGACCTGAATTCAAATCCTTACTTTACTGTGTACTAACTACATAACTTTGGTGAGTGACTTCACCTCCCAGACATCTTTCTCATTTGGACATTCAGGATCACTGAGAGGATCAAATAACTAATCCCAAGGAAAATATAAAAGAGTATTACACTCAGTAAGTGTCTTTCCTCTCTGTTTTCTCCTGTGTTTTCCTGCTCTGCAGCGGATGGAGACCCCCATTTTGTTGTGGATTTCCCCTTGAGCAAGCTCACTGTCTGCTTCAACATTGATGGGCAGCCCGGGGACATCCTAAGGCTGGTCTCTGATCATGCAGACTCTGGTAAGTTCTGCCCTCTGTTGTGGTCTCTGGGCAAGAGCCAGGTAGACATTATGTCTCCACTGTTCCGGAGATGGATGTACATGTAAGGGGCTCCTCACAGATGCTCAGTGAGGATTGTTGATGATTAGTTAAAGGAATTAGACTGTGTGCTGGGCTTGAAGGCAGGAAGACATTATTGGAAACCCTGCTCTCTGACTTAACTAATTTTGTGGCCTTGACTATTCAACTAGAGAGTTTATATTGTCTCTCCTGTAAAACAGTGGTGCTCATGTACGGGTCTTACCAGTCTATTGTAGAGATTTAATTAAATAATGGAACAGAAGTTGTTTTGAAAACATATTAGTGCTATACGAATTCGTGTTATATTATTGTTATTATGTCTTTCTATTCAAAAACTGTGGTGGTGGGGTGTTCTAAATTCATTTATCTCAGCTCCTCCATGACTAAGATGTTAAGCCCCATGTCAATTACTGGGCTTTGTGTACAGAGAACATGGGTGTAAGCATGGCTCTGATCCCCTTTGTTCCATAGAGGGACCACGTAAAAGAGATTGGTATATAAAAAGCTTCCCTCGGCCCTGGCCCATGTGGCTCAGTTGGTTGGAGTGTCATTCTGTGCACCAAAAGGTTTCAGGTTCCATTCTCAGTCAGGGCACATACTAGAATTTTAGATTCTATTCCTAGTCAAGGCGTGTACAGAAGGCAACAGTCCATGTTTCTCTCTCACATTGATGTTTTTCTTTCCCTCCCTCCCTCCCTCCCTTTCTCCCTTCTTCCCTCCCTCTCTCACTTCCCCTCTCTCTAAAATCAAAAAGCATGCCCTCCAGTGAGGATTATAATTAACAATTGTTACATGCAGGTAACAGTGCCTCAGGATGGCAATGTGGACAGCCATGCAGCCCAACTTTTGAGGACAAGTTTTGCAGTAGACATTCTGGCATTTCTCAGTTCTAAGAAAATGAGTTTCTTGGAAGGCTAGGTGACAGAGGGCCTCGCAGCATGCTGACACAGATGATGGAGTTATGTAATGTCTGATTTTAAGCTCCTCACTTACCTTGCTCTCTTACAGGCCTTTCTAGCTGTAGAACAAAATCTCAGCTTTTTTTTTTTTGTAATTCAAAAAGGCTCAGGAGTGAGATAGGCCTAACTGTGCCCTCCCTGGACGTTCCTCCCCCTCCTATCCCTGAGCCATTCTCTCATTCCTGTGTTCAATGTGTGTCCATGATGAGAAGCTCTGAGGAAGATGCTTGGAGCCTTAAGGTAGAAATACTTGACCTCTACTCATGCTGAGCTTTTTCCCTCCCCCTACCCTTCAGCCCAGAGAAAGCAGTTTTCTCCTGGGATGTCCAAGAAGTTTCTAGTCAAGATGTAGGGGAAGATTATCCCCAAAGCAGAGACAATAGGAGTTAATCATGAAGCAATATTTTATTAATGCAAATTGGCTCTTTGCTGAGAGCAAAATACACTTAATGTACATGATCTAATTCAGCCCCAAACATCTGATGAAGAATTGCCATCTGTCTGGACAGCACCTATTGCTAGGGGTCTGACTCACATGCCTCACTCAGGTCTAGTAAAGTTGCTGTGCGTTCATGATGGCGAAGTGGGGGGGGAAAAAAAAGAGTTGTATTTGCTGGCCATTGGCAGCTTGCACATATGTCATCTCCTGTGAAACTCACTATAGTCCCCTTAGGTTTCATGCCCCCTTTTACACATGAGGACATTGAGGCTCGGAGTTTTAAAGTGACTTGTCCAGAGGTGCACACCTAGAAGATAGAAGAACTTGAGTTGTGGATTAAGCATAACTCTAACCTTTGCATTATATCACACTGCTCATGGCATCACAGTGTCTCCAAATCAGAATCAGTGGCCACTGGTAGATAAGAAGTACTGTATGTGTCTTTGTCCCTACAGTCAGAATGAAAGAAATACTAGAATGAATGCAATCTGTTAATCTTTATTACATCTTGACCCAAACCTACATCATCCTTCCCCTCCCCTGAGATACTGGTCAAACATGGGGCAGAAATTCCCTCCTAACTTCATACATTCATTCATTTCTTCATTCATTCCGCAGGCATTGAGTGGCCTCTACTTGAGAGTGAAAGTTCATGGTGAGAGAGCTACAAAGATAAGGCCGGAGGAGGAAGGAGATTTTGTTCGGATGCCTTTAGCATGAAAGTAGGATAGTTTTTCTAACCATTGCTCTCTGCCCCTCTGCCTTCAGGTGTGACAGTGAATGGAGCGTTAATCGGGGCCCCTGCTCCTCCCAACGGCCACAAGAAACAACGCACTTACTTCCGCACCATCACCATCCTTGTCAACAAGCCCGAGAGGTCATACTTGGAGATCACACCGCACAGGGTCATCCTGGATGGCGGGGACAGGCTGGTCCTCCCCTGCAACCAGAGCATGGTAGTGGAGAGTCGGGGGCTGGAGGTGTCAGTGTCTGCCAATGCCAATGTCACCGTCACCATCCAAGGCACCATTGCCTTCGTCATCCTCATTCACCTCTACAAAAAGCCAGCCCCCTACCAGCGAGACCACCTGGGCTTCTACATCTCCAGCAGCAAAGGCCTTTCTGGCAACTGCCATGGACTCTTAGGTAAGCAGCTGCTCTTCCCGCGGGGTCTGAGGAGAGCACTCGGCTCTGAATGAACTGGTGCTGCCAATAACGTTAGCTTGATGGAGACATTGGGTGGGAAGCATGTCTTTACCTATATTACAAAAGTTGTGTTTCTTGCCTCCTCATGACTTTCTGGAATAGGAGTGGGCTTTGTAAACAAATTATCACTCACTTGCCTTCTGGGAAAGTGAGCAAAGAAACTGTGAGTAATCCTCTGGTTCCTCACTCTCAGCAAGAAGATACAAAGAAGGGGCCGTCCACAGCCCAGCACCCATGCGCCATGGCGATTCCTCCATGGCAGCCACCCACATTGTGTGAGCAGCAGCAGGCTGTCCATTTGGACTGGCTTTCTTGGACGTGCAGTTTTGTGCGGGCTCCTTGCCCACAAGTAAAGAGCCAGCGCTGCCGGGCTCAGTTTAGAAAGCAGGATTTCCTGGCACTTGAGCTGAACACATTTCTGTAGCGACTGCCTGCCAACTGTGAGCTCTCTCTGACGGACACAGACCGGTATCCTTGGCCCTAGCGACGTCCTCACTTGACCTGGGGAATTCTGATGATGTGTCTCAGGAACCAATTAAACTGACTGCTTTCTGCACCCTTGGCCCAGGACACCACAAACCTAGTATGGAGGGTGCCATGACCCTGGAGGAAAGAGGGGGAGGCCTAACTCTTCTTTATTCATCTGCCCCTTTTCTTGCCTTCCCAGCGCAGTAGGAGACTCTGGTTATCTCTGTTTGCTGGTTAGGCAGCTCTCCAGTGTCAGCAAGAGGGCAGCTTCCAGATGTGGAGGTCTCTCCTCTCCATATGCCCCCAAACACGTGTTCTGTCAATTACGCTGGAGAAGGCGCAAGTGGCTTCTGGCAGAGTCCAGCTAGGAGTCAATCTCTGACATCATGAATCCCCTTCCTCTGGGTACCACCTGTGCATTTGCTGGTCACTGAAGGCCTGAATCGATGTCAGATTTTTTTCTTACATGATGTGGCCTGTGCTCTACTAAAACCAGATGCTTCTCTGTCCATTCAGGTCAGTTCCTGAACCAGGATGCCAGACTCACAGAGGAGCCTGACAGGCTCAGCAGGAACACTACTAGTCCTCCATTCCCAAAGGCAGATGAGAAGTCTGAAACGGTCCTCAAGGTGAAAGGGCATCAGGTCCCGGTGGTCTGGAAACAGAGGAAAATCTACAACGGGGAGGAGCAGATAGACTGCTGGTTTGCCAGGAACGCTGCCCAGCTGCTCGATGGTGAATACAAGGATTACCTGGCAGCCCATCCTTTTGACTCAGAGACTACCTTCGGCCTGGGACTAACCAAGGGACTCTGACACTAGTGTGCATTAATGTGAGAGTGCATGACAGGGAAATGGCCTTGGGGGATACCATCGTGTGGTTCTTGTTGCTGGCCTATGCCCCATCTCTTGGCAGTTAGCTGCAACCCCTGGCCTGCCCCTGGTGGCTTGTAGGACAGGCATCAGCTTAAGCAAAGAGTAGGATCAGGGAGCTGAAATGAAATGTTATTTTCCCTGCTCCTTCCTCCTGACATGCTCTCCTTATGTCCTATAGGGAAAGATGGTAGCATCAAGGGGGGAAGGTCATGATTAAAAGCAAGAAGTCTGTGTCTTATAGCAACTGGCTTGTCCATCTCATAGCCTACCAAAAAGTAACTCTGATGAAGTAAGGGTGCTGCAAAGTTTGTTTTCTCTATGAAAAAAAGCCAAGTTTGGGCACACAGCTTTCCCCCTTATAAATGCTTAGGAATCCTTCCTCTTAGCACTGCTACGATCTCCAGCCTCTGCTTCAGGGGATCCTCTGATGGAGCCCAGGCCACAGGTCATACAGATAGCATGGAGATTTGATCATTGTAAACAATTAAGTCTTTTCTTAGGAGAAGGTTTTCTTCTGCTATAATATCTTGCCCTTGAAAATTAGTTTTCATTTTTATAAAAAAAATTGATTTGGAAATAGAAAGCCTATATCGCAGCTACCCATGTCTTTCTCATGGGTTTTGTAAAATGCTTTACTTTGCCAGTGGATATTCTCCTATTTATTCCAGTAAGCTAAATGCTTATAATAAAGAGGACAACTCTGCATGGATGTGTTTTCCTGCCTGTCTTGGTGTTGGTGGTTGGCCAGTTAAATGGCAAAACTTTTGCTGGGCACATTTTAGCCTTCATCATAATTGTAGCCTTCTTTGGTCCCGATCCTCCAGGGGGGCAATAAAGTAGGCTCTCACAGTGCTGGACTGGGAGAGACACAGCACAGCGAGTGTCTGACAGCTGACATACAGGAATCAACCTGTGCGTTCTCTGCAGGAAGTGGGCACATGTTTGCAAAGTCTAAGACGCCTTCCACACTTCAAATAGGCAAAGCCAGGAAATCAACATGAGTAAGGAGCTCTTATGGAATCAGATGTGTTCAGAACAAGGACACATCTGATCCCAAAAGGGAAAGGTTGAAATCAGAGGTGGCTTCAAGAATCAGTGACCGTCAACCTTCTGATTGTAGACACCCTCTTTGCAACCCATACATATTATCAAGGGAAGACTGCCTGCTAGTGACATCAAAGCCTTGTTTTCCGCCTTCATCACTTTTGCTCAGTTTGCTCTTCTCTGGACCACCAAAGTTCAGGAAGCCTGACCCTCACTGAGTGAGGGGCACAGTCAGTATGCAGATGGACGCAGGGGGCACTTGTGCCAAACAAGGGAGAAAGAGAGGCTTGGGTCAGAGAAATAGAATAGTTAGATATGAGACTGAATGAAATAAAAGCCTTTGTGTTGGCTTCACAGGTGGTTTCTCCCAGTCAGGACTGACTCCAGAGCAGGCTTTCATGAAATATGGAAGCATACTTAGCACTTGGAGGGAAATCAGAGTTATAAAAATTGTTTATCAGACTTGCCCTCTCATGGGAACAATGAGCAGCAAAACGATCCCCACACATTCCTGTCGGACCAGGAGATTAAGTTAGTGCCGGGGGATTCTTCAGGCCTCTCTCAGAGTCTCAGTCTCTCTCTTCTTTTTGAACCCACCAGACCATGGCCTGCCCTCTATGTTACTTCTTACTCCCATCTTCCCAGACTAGCTGCCTGTTTCCATGTCAGCGGTGTGAGGACACCTGCCTAGACTGACAGATGCTTCCACATTTCAGAGCTCAGGGGAAGAGGAGCATGAGCCAGGGCCAGCCAGTGCCTGTCCACGCTCTATGAGGACCTTCCTGTTACATCATCTTAGTCCCAGTTGGGTAGATGCCCCTCGAGCCAAGAGGTGGGCCTGCTGAGTTAGCACTTGGGGCAGTGATCTGTGTTCCAGGTGCAGGAGTCAGCTGGAGAGGAGGCTACTGCCAGACATTCCCAGTTACTACTGCTTTCCTAAGAACAGTGACAAAAATTCCAGTGGACTACCACCCCTTACTCACCTACTTAGAAAAAAATATTTTCTTTTAAGTATCAAGGTTGAGCTTTATTATTTTAAAGTTTTTACCTTTCTTTGAATCACACTTTTCTTTCTCCTTCTCTTCCGTTGTACACCTGTTTTTATTGCTAAAGGTATTTACTATTAAATTTTCTCTTTCAGCCAGAGACTGTAATATATGTGAGCTCAAAACTCCACACTCGTGTGATAGTTAGGACTTTTTAATTTACCTGAAAAAATGTAGTATTTTCTGTTGGCCATGTGCATGAATAGCAAGCTCTTTTACCAATGCAGAGCAGTAGAGGAACCCTCTTCTCAGATGGGAAAGCTGAGGCAAGGAAAGTTGGGTGATTTTTCCCATGTTATGTTCTGGAGGGCCTGGCTGAACCTCCAGAACAGCTTCTCTTAGCTTTGATGTAATTTCACCATTGGAGCAATCATTTGTTTTCCTTAAGCATTTATAAATTGAGGGAGGGTAACTAAATAAGAAGTTCAATGTGCCCTAGCCAGTTTGGTGCAGTGGATAGACTTTTGGCCTGTGGACTGAAGGGTGTAGAGTTCCATTTCAGTCAAGTGCATGTATCTTGATTGCAGGCTCGATCCCCAGTCCTGGTTGGGGCCTCTGTAGGAAGTAACCAATTGATGTGTCTCTCTCACATCAATGTTTCTCTCTGTGTGTCTCTCCCTCTCCCACTTACTCTAAAATTCAATGGAAAAATATTCTTGGGTAAGGGGAAAAAAATAGAAGAAGAAGATGAATGAGATTGGGAAATACATTGCAATTAGAGGACATAAATCTCATGTTAATAGCTACTGTTAAAAACTCATAATAATTAATAAGATCTTCAAAGTCTTCATTTCTGGGTTTCCATTCCTTCATGCATCTAAAAGAATGGCTTTTGATGGGTTATCTTTCAGGGTCTCCTAATATAAAGTTTTATATTCTCCAACTAAAATGGACTGGACATTCTCTACCCAGCTGTGCAGGGTGCATAATGTTCTTCCATTTGACTTTTTGATGATATACTACTTCAGGCTCAAGGGAGTGGGCTTTTGGGAGGATCTACCATCTTGATATTCTGTCACAACCAAGCACTGTTAGACAGGCACTGGGAGTTGGTAAGAACACCTCTTTGTTTCTATCAGGAGTAACATTAAAACTTTAACTGAATCATGTATCCTCAGGAGAGGTGGATTAGGGACAGGAATAATTTAAATTTATCTCTTGACTAAAGTGAATGCTATGAACTGAAGGTTCTCCCACCCCCATCCCCCAGATTCATATGTCAAAGTCCAAATTCCCTGTGTGTTGAATTGGGAGGTGGAGCCTTTTGGAGGTGATGAGGTCATGAGGGAGGGGCCCTCATGAATGAGATTAGTGTTCTTATAACAGAGACCCAGAGAGCTCCCTTTACCCTTCTACCATGCCATTATACTGGTAAAAGATGCCATCTATGAGCCAGACAGTGGGCTCTCACCAGATACCAAATCTGCCAGTGTCTTGATCTTGGATTTTCCAGCTTCTAGAACTGTGAGAAATGAATGTTTGTTGTTTAAGCCTCCCAATCTGTAGCATTTTTGATATAACAGCCTGAGCCAAATAAGATACTGAATCAACAAACAAGTTCTTTTCATTTCTTCAAGCCCCACAGAATGTATACAAACAGTGCTGTTATTAAATTTGGAGGACTCTTGAGGCCAGAAGAACACAATCCACCTAAAATAAATGGCAAATAAAATAGCACAGCTAAACAAACACTTAGAAATATAACTGTAAGTGTTTATTTTAGTCAGTTTAAAATAATAAGTAGGGTACAAGATAGTTCACATTCAAGAGACATTTTTCTTAAACAAAATTAATAGGAGAACTACATAGGAAAATAACCAACATATTGGCATGTTTGTGTTTTTAGTGAAAACAGAGTTAAGGCTCTGGAAAATAAAGCTTTATGATTCTAGTTGCACTGCTTGTTTGTAGGAATTTATGAATTACACAAAAATATATGTAAATGGAGTAATTAATGACATTGGAAGAATACTGTTGAGACACAAAAATTATTATATAGAACAGTAAATGTACAACAGTCATTCCTGGCCTTTTATAAAACTGTCAAATAAGTAGAGAAGTGTCTTAAACATCTCAGTGCCTTATTTTCTGGAACTCTAGCATCTCAAAGTTTGATCACCTTCTTATCAGGCTACTCATTTGCACACACTGGCCCACCATCTTGCTCAGAACTTATTTCATTTGGCTCTGGGTCAAAGGCTATTCAAGGGGCATCTCCAGCCTGTGGTTCTGGCATCCCATTTCCAGTTCTGAGTGGTCCAATGGCTCTTTCTCAGATTCCCACTGAGCTACATTAAGTTTCTGAGTGGTGCATGGTGCAGCACCTGACTAGAGCCAAACCAGACTGAGCAGGAGTGAAATACTCCTGAGAGGCTGTGTTAAAAACAAGCAAATGCCTGGTCTCAACAGCTCGAAATCGACCTCTCTGGGTTTTGGCTTCTTCATCTACAATATAAATACAATAAAAAGGGACTGACGAGATAACTTCTTAGGTCTGTGACTTTTATCTTTTGCCTTTATACAAAGATATTTCCTGAACTTCCAAGTAATAAATGCAAGAGGATTCATTCAGTGACTCCAGTGTATTTCTAGATACAGTGTCCCAAAGCCATGGATTCAGAGAAAACAAAGTCCATACCACCACGGTTCACAGTTTTGAGGAGGAGAAAGAATGAATACAAAGACTGGCACAGAGTGTGGGAACCCTGTAAGAGAGCTTGGCAGAGGAATGCGATCTGAGCATTGAGAGGCACAGCATTGAAGGTGGGAAGGGGGTTGGGAACCACTCTCAAAATGTGAAGTGTTAAGCTGCAAGAAAGAAGAGTGCATGCAGAGGCAACCACATGCTACACTAGTACTGTCTCTATAATGTTAAGCCACTGGGAACATCTTCTGAATTGTAGCAGTATTTTTTAAAAAATTTCTTTATTGATTAAGGTATCACATATTTGCCATCACCCCCCCCCATTCTCATCCCACACCCCTCCTCATGCATGCCCCCACCCCCCTGTTGTCCTTGACCACTGGTTAGGCTCACATGGATGCACACAAGTCCTTTGGTTGATTTCTCCCCTTTCTCCCCACCCTCCCCTACCTTCCCCCTGAGGTCCGACAGTCTGATCTATGCTTCCTTGTCTCCTGGTCTGTTCTTGTTCATCAGTCCATGTTTTTCATCATTTCCCCTAGATGAGTGAGATCATGTCCTACTAGAAATACACTTATAAGAACCGAAAATGAGACAAGCAATAATGGTTATGCTGAAAGGCAAATGAATTAGTCTGTAGTCTTTCTGGGCCAACAGTTCTTTTGAGACCCAATTTTAATGTCAAACAGTTCCTTATGTGTACATGTCAGCAATGATATTTCAGTTCTGGGTGGTGGACAAATGGTGATACTCTGGACTCTGAAGCAGTCTTCTTACTCAGCTCAGTTTCAAACACTGCTCTGTAGATCCAGCAGTTGCTGAGAACCCACAGTGGATAAAGTTTGGTAGAATCCCAGGTTTCTACCTCCCTTGACCTTATCCCAAATCTGTCTTTGTTACAAGCTTCCTTTACTCCCATTCCTAAGACACAGAAAATGTCTAGGGAAAGTCACAGAGCGCCCCCAGGGGCC